TTCTTCTCCATCACCTCCAGACCACCAACATTTTCATCCTCCTGAAGTATTGTCAGGAAGCCGGAATCCGTGTGGATTTGTACTCCGGTGGAGCCTACCGCTTCCGGGGTGAAGTTGTACTTGTTTATCCTGAATTGGCATGCCCATTCTTTGCAGAAATCACTCTTCAATCCCAAGCTTTCAGCTAGCTTTCCTCCTATTTCCATGGCTAACTCAGAAATTGCTTGAGCATACTTCTCTACGATCTCCCTGTTTTAATACAATAAATTCCTCAGTACACACAGATTTAGATTATCTTTCCATTTCTCGAGCTACCCAAAAAACAAAAAAGATGGTACCTTTGCTGAGGGGAGGCATCCAATTGAGAACAGAAGGTCTGCACAGCATAGGAGGAAGCCATGTCATAGAGGCCTAAAGCTTCATAAAGAGGGTTGACCTGGCTAGGCGCCATGTACCCGCTTCCGGGGATCACGTCCGTATTCCGGCGCTTGATTTCCATGGGAAGGTCCAGCAGAGATCTCACAACCCTCTTCATGTCCCACATGAGGTCCAGAGGGATGCCATGGTTCACCACCCTGAAACATCCCGAGTCTTGGCACGCTTCCCTCAGTTTCCCACACTCTCCAGGGAAATTTGAAAGATCTATCATCGGAATACCTTCCTTCCCCTTCCCCATTTTCCCTCCTCTATCTCCAACCCCACTTTTACTTCGTTTTATATATTGCAGTCATGTTCATTTGTGCCAACAAAATTAGACTATTTGGGCCCACAAAAAAGAAAAATACCATTTGAGTGGACGAGTTGTATTGTACCAACTAAGTAGACTATTTGGGCCCATAAAAAAATACTATTTGAGCATGATGGGTTAGGTGTAAGCTTCTCGACATCCTATAAGTTTAAATACCATTTTACTCCACTAACTTTTCACTTTAACACTGAAATTATTTTTTAACTTTAAAAAAATATTAAAATGAATTTCTAAATTTTTATTTTTGGTATCAAACCAATCTTTTCATCAGTTAAATGGACATGTGACACATTAATTTATCAGTAAATCAATTATTTTTTTCTTAACTAATGACATAACACCTTTTTTTTATGAGTTGGTATTTTATTTTATTTAAAAATAATTATATTTTTTTTCCATCCACGTCATTTCTTCTACGTCATTTCTTCTTCCTCTTTCACTTTCTCTCTCCTTTACCTTTCCTTGTCTCTTACCTCAGCAAACCTAGATCTAGGTTCTTTCTCAAACTTCATCTTCTTCCTCATTTCCTCCTTCCTCATTTCCTCCTTCCTTTCCTTGCTCATCCTTCTTCTTTCTTCTTCTTATTC